AGCCTTAGCAACTTCATCCTTTTGCTCGAAAAGTTCATCCAAATTCATTTTGGGGACATGGGCTCGAACGACTAGAACAGTCCAGAACATTGAATGAAATGAGCATCATAGAAAGTGGCATAAATAAACAAGACAAAAGTAAACTCGCAAAAGTGAAACCAAAAGGAGACAAATTACCATCAAATACATAAGCCTGAATCTGCTCCTTTGGATTTTGCAACTCATAGAAAGCATCATCAGCATTTTGCCTGATCACTCTATATTGGATCGAGCACACTAAATGAACAAAGACATTGTCCTGAACAATTGCATATAAGTTAACTTTCTCCAGGCAAATCAACATATTCGATTATTCCCAACTTGAGCTTCTAAAACAAGACAAATTTTATCACTCCGCCTCTATCAAGTATACTGCTATCAATTCCCCAAAAAGATACAAGCTGCTTTATGGCAAAGTAAATTAGATCAAAAGGACCTCAAAAATCAAAGCATTGGAATATCATTCATAATATCATGGAGAACTATGATTAGCTCAGTGTCAATTTGAGGCGAATTGTCCACTTCCAGGAGCATCTAATGATAACATCCCCTACAATGGGGGCAATGATGCTTTAAATTTCCAAAGAACAATTTTTGAGCAATTAATGTGTCAACACACAACTAGACGCTTAACAGAACAATCCATAGAAAGAAAGGAAGAATTACTCCACCTGCAGTTTCTATTCCAGTCCAGATGAGTAAAAAAGAATATAATTGCTCAGCGTGAATTACGCTGAAGAAACTGCACATTATCTGAAATCTAAATGACTTACAAACCGCAAAACTATTCATACATTGAAAACATGAACTGCAGACTAAATGGGCAGGTAAAGTTTTGTGGAAAATTAACTTCATGCTATCCAGAGAGCATCATTCTCTCTGACTTCTTTCAGAAATATAGCACCTCATAAAAAACAGAACAGTACAAGCGTGCTTGATATTCCTACAGGTTACATCAGACTGAATATACTTTCACATGCCGATATTAAGTTTACTCCTTCTAAAGTTTCTATTTCTCACAAGTCACAATCAACATGTCTTAGTGTTTATTCACTCATTTGATTTATGGCTTCAAATACCCTGTAGTTGCACATTTAGCTGATTAATCGATTTCATTTTGTTTATTTAGTACCATGTGTATCAGCATTATAAACATGTAATTTGTGACTTATGACTAACAATAAACATTTGAACAAAAATTGCATTAATAGGAGTGAATTTCGAAACGGCTAATATTAGAATTGTAATTAGCAACTGCAATAAAAAATATATACTATCACTTAAAAATAACCAATCGATCATTCAACTTTTGAATATGTAAAATCGGAAACAGTAGGGTTTTCAGGGACAAAAACGGAATAAAAATTCACCTTGGTTTTAGTCTCGATTTTGACATCGAGAGAACTGATCCTGGTGGAGAGAATTCCAGAAAGGCATTCGCCGGCGAAAGGATTGAAGAAGTTAAGCCCCGGTTCTGCTAGCCTGTCAAAACGTCCCCATTTCTCAACGACACCGACGCTCGCTTGTTCTATGCATCCACAGAATACACAGTTAGCATTTCCCATCGCTTCGTATTGCCAATTAGGGTTTGAGTAAATTTGATGTTGGTGATGAATTCAGGATTAGCGCGTTTTTGTACGAAGACCGCCTTGGCGGGTTTTTACTTCTTTTCTTTTTAATTACCGAATGGATATTTGTTAGCAATAAATTTAAGGGAAAAAGCGGTCACAACTTCTTTCACAAGAAAGATCTTCTTTAAAGAGGGAAATTTGCTTTTAGTCCCTTAAGTATTACCATATGTTTCTTCTGTTTGTAAACTTTTGTAAATTTAACAAATTATTAATTGCTTAAATTATTTAACTATTCAGGTGTTATATCACGTTTTGTACAGTAACTTCATATCTGTGAGCGATATTGTTCTAAAGATAATGTAAATATAAAGCTTTTTATATGTAAAATGACCAGAATGCATATTTTAAATACGGAAAAGGGTCTGATATGTTTCTCCACTACGATAAATTATTTAAAGTTGTCCCCGTTATACTGTTGGACCATAAAACTCCCCGCCGGCTTACTATCCTAACACATGTATTCTTAAGTGGACGAAAGGGACACAAGACATCCATCCGTGCCTTTTTTACATTTGATATCATATTTAATCGACCTGATCCACGATACCCCATACCCAAACCTCATAACCTTTAAAATATAACACAAAATAAACCCATTTCATTCTTTTCTCTTCTTTCTCTTTCATTCTCTAGAACTCTCTAACCTCTCTCTTCTCTGCTGACTGCCGATTTGAATAACAAATGCCATAAATGGTAATACCTTCCTCCATTAAAGTGATTCGTCTCTAGTATATTTTTTCTGTTGGTATTTCATCTTTTTAGTATATTTTCGTTTTTAGGGTTTTTATTCTAGGGTTTCGATTTCTTGGGTTTCATCTACATCCAACTTAAGTTT